CCAGTAAGATTCTATTCACTGAGACTTAAGCTGGAAACATGAACAAACAGACTTTTCTTGGGCAGAGGGAAAAGGAGATGATGATTTAGGGGAGGCTGGGGGGAGGTGGGAGAGAGATTTCTTTACATTTCTGTGTAGTGCCTGATATGTGTATAGTACACTAGTGGAGCTAAAAACTGAAATATATAAATAGTCATGCAAAAGTCAGCCTAGGAAAAATAGCAGAGACTCAGGTTCCTTAAATCTGTAATAGGCTCAAGCCATAAATCTAAAATATGAAGAGGAGATGAGCAGATTGTGACAATTAAAAAATAAATAAATAAAAAATAGGCTGGGCACAGTGGCTAACACCTGTAATCCCAGCACTTTGGGAGGCTGAGGCAGAAGGATCAGTTGAGCCCAGGAATTGGAGACCAGCCTGGGCAACATATGAGACCCTATCTCTAAAAAAAAAGAAAAAAAGAAATCAATCATAAACATTATTCAATCCACAGCTCATTTGCTCTCACATACTTCCTCTTTATTCATATACTACACTGATCAGTAGCCAAGTCCACTAAAGAGAAATCAGCAAGCAAGCAGGGACATAAGTTGGATCAAGCAGACAAACCCCACGCAACAGAGATGACAAAAAGTGGGTTTTTCATTGTCTTGCTTAGAATACTAGGAGAAGAGGCTACATTACCTGCTAACTGCCACTATGTGTACCACATCTAACTGAATAAAATCCGTGCCTAGAGAATTACACAACTTAAAAGACAAGTGACCAAATTATATAGAAGGTTACACTGGAACCCAGAATCCCAGGATGAAGTGGACAAAAGTATGCTCATCTGGCAGTTCCGTAAACACTAACTTAACTAAGTCACTAACCTCTGCCAACCAACCAAACACTAGGTAACAACTCATTCTGGTGATAAATAGTTAAGCACAAGAACTAGCCAATTCTCACCAGACAATGTACCCAGCTGCAATTCCAGGATGTGGAACTGTTCACTAGAACACTAAGTTCTAGAAAAAAAGAATCCTTACTTTTCTTATGTCTTACTCCTTTTCCTCCAACTTCTCTCCTTTCATAGATTTACTCTGAAACTGTTTATATTTTCTACAATTATTAAAAAAAATTCTCAGCTACAGATTAACAGAGGTGCAAGTATGTGGTCTGACAAGTAATTTCTATGCCACTTCCAAGTATGAAAGCTGTGTGGGAGATATAAGCTAGATATGAGTTGTCCAATACAGTAGCCACTAGCCACAAATGGCTTTGTAAAATAAGTTTTATTGGACAGTGCTGGTGTAGACAGCAAAACATCAGCATTTCTGGGACACTGTGATGGTTTACGGGACAAAACAGACCAAACTGTTCAAATTAGGATGGTTCTGAAAATCAAGACTTATAACCAATGTAAATGGGGCCTATACTCAAAGAGGACATCTCAAAAGGTCACAAATCTCCAAGTAAAGTAGTCCCTAGAAACCATACATATGCTAGTAAAGTGCTACTTAAAATATAGTCTGCCTCCTGGTGCTAGTCTCCAAACTGTTTCTTACCAGTGTGTAAAGGTCCAGAAATTGAAAATGTTAAGAAACTTTCAGAATAATTTAATACTGTTGTAACATTTTAATTGCATTTTATAAAAGTTATCACTCTGCAATAATCAAAAAAATTTTTAAACTAGTTTTTTGCCACAGATAATTTCAGAAGCACTACTCTAGCACATATGCAAATAAAAAAATATGCTATACATATTGGCAATCAATGTTATTAGAGAAGGAAGCTCAGAGCCAGAGTTCTGCCAATTACCATTATTGTATTACAACCCTCCAGAGACTTAAAATGGGTGCTGAAATCTTATCAATGATCAACAAAAACTAAAATTGAGTCAAGTTAATTGACTCAATTTTAAGGCCATAAAGGCAATTTACCAACAGAACTGAACTAAAAAAAAAGGAAGAAAACCAACATTTATTGAGGGTCAAAGTAGCACTGTTAGGTAATTTTGAATACTGTATACAATTTTTATTTTTAAAGACAGAGTCTAGGCCATGTGCGGTGGCTCACGCCTGTAATCCCAGCACTTTGGGAGGCCAAGGTGGGTGGATCACTTGAGACCAAAAGTTTGAGACCAGCTTGGACAATATGGAGAAACTCCATCTCTACTAAAAATGCAAAATTAGCTGGGTGTGGTGGCGCGCTCCCATATTCTCAGCTACTCAGGAGGTTGAGGTGGGAAAAATCACTTGAACCCAGGAGGCAGAGGTTGTAGTGAGCTGAGATCGCACCACTGCACCACTGCACCACTGCACTGCCTGGGTGACAGAACAAGACCCTGTCTCAGGAAAAAAGAAAAAAAAAAGACAGGATCTCACTCTGTTACCCAGGCTGGAGTGCAGTGTCACTATCATGGCTCACTGCAGCCTCAAACTCCTGGGCTCAATTAATCCTCCTACCTCAGCCTCCCAAAATCATGGGATTTCAAGCATAAGACATTGCACCTGGCCCTGTATCCAATTATTTACTCTTCCCAATCAGGTTGCTAGGTATTGCTCTAAGTCTTACAGATGAGGATCAAAGAAGTTCAGTAATTTGCTCAAAGTCACAAAGTTAATATATGTATCTGTTTTACTCAGCCTCCTGTGGATTAAAAATGAAAAAAGGTCAAAGAAAGAGAAAAAGTCTAGGGAAGGGAAGAGAAAGACCTGCTATTCCTGTAATGAAATACTATAAAAATAACACAGGTATATAGTATAGCATTGATGGACAAATTCTTCTCAGCAATGTGTAGTAGGAGCTATGAGCTATGTAGTAAGAGATATGATGTTCAATTTTGTAGATTCTGAAGGAACACAGACAATTCCTTAGAAGATGGAGTGAATTTTTACTGCTGGGGTTCTCAGACATCTAGCCCTCATATAAAAGAGGAGAAAACAGACGAGAACTAGGGCCACAGATCCAAGGCATCCTTCCCCTTGGCCATCTGGCACAACACAAGTGACCTTTGGTTTATAACAGCCCTTCCCAATTAAGGTGCATGTGGCTTAAGAATCACATACTCTGCCTCTCAACTCCAAATTTTTTCTTACTTCACATAAATGAGCAAGTATTCCCACTGAGCATAGATGGTCTCAGCATCATGCTAGGCACACGGACCTGATGCTATATTTCTGGTTAATATAAAAAATGATAACCCAGGCCAGGTGCAGTGGCTTACACCTATAATCCCGCATTTTGGGAGGCCAAGGCAGGAGGATGGCTTGAGGCCAGAAGTTCGAGACCAGCTAGGCAACACAGGGAGACCTTGTCTCTTAAAAAAAAATTCAAAAAACTAGCCAGGCATGGTGGCACACGTCTGTGGTCCCACCTACTCAGGAGGCTGAGGTGGGAGGCTTGCTCGAGCCTGGGAAATGGAGGCTGCAATGAGCTGTGATCATGCTACTGCACTGCAGCCTGGGTGACAGAGTGAGAACCTGTCTCAAAAAAGATTGGGAAAAAAAAAAAAAGTTAACCTAAATGGAAGATGGAACAAAGTTGTGCACAAGTGTTCCATAGTGGCACAATAATGATTACTTTTAGTGTTTAGTTTTTTTACTAAGCAAAACATATAACCAATGTCAGATAAGTTTCTTTCAATGGCTTTCTAGAGAGCTAAATACTTTTATGCTGAGTTGGAAATAATGATTTTTTTCTTTTTTTTGAGACGGAGTCTCACTCTGTTGCCCAGGCTGGAGTACAGAAGCATGATCTCGGCTCACTACAACCTCCGCCTCCCGGGTTCAAGTGATTCTCCTGCCTCAGTCTCCCAAGTAGCTGGGATTAAGGCATGTGCCACCACGCCCGGCTAATTTTTGTAGTTTTAGTAGAGACAGGGTTTTACCATGTTGGCCAGCCTGGTCTCGAACTCCTGACCTCAGGTGATCCGCCCGCCTCGGCTTCCCAAAGTGCTAGGATTACAGGCGTGAGCCACCATGCCCGGCCGATTTTTTTCTTAAATGATGGTTTTTCTGGTTTCAAATACCCTGCCACCACTTTGACAACCAAGAAACATGTTCCTGTTCTAAACAACAAAGATTAAGAGATCACCTGCTCTAGGCAAATAGAAAAATCCTTATCATTTTATCCAATGTGCCTAGCAAAACTACAAAGGCAACTATGCCCTGGGGAACCAATCATCCCACACAGCATGAAGTAAACAAAGTCATCTTGCTTAATAAAGTAAATAACATCAGTTAGCAGAGGGGCATAAAGAATGAGTTAACTTTTTTATTTTTGTTCCACCAATCCTCCAAGTTTTATTTCTAAGTACTTCTGACCTAAAAACAAGACTATCTTCTCCTGATTATTTAATTCCCATTATGCCTATTATCAAAGTTAAAGTAGTTGTAATAAGTTTTAACTTCACTGAATTCAACATCTTAACCAACAGAAATATAGACCATACTCAGGCTGGGTGCAATGGCTCACGCCTGTAATCCCAGCACTCTGGGAGGCAGAAGTGGGTGGATCCCTTAGGCCCAGGAGTTTGAGACCAGCTTGTGTAACATAGCAAAATCTCGTCTCTACCAAAAATAGAAAAAAATTAGCTGGGCATGGTGGCACGCGCCGCAGTTTTAGCTACGTGAGAGGCTGACATGGGAGGATCACCTGAGCCCAAGGAGGTCAAGCCTGCAGTGAGCCATGATCACACCACTGCACTCCAGTCTGGCAACAGAATGACCCTGTCTCAAAGGAAAAAAAAGAAAGAAAGAAAAGAAATATAGACCATGCTCTAGCAGCCTGGGTGAAAGCTATGAAAACAATCCACGGGAAAAAGCAATCGGCTTGTGAAATAATTCCTATAATATAATCAAGAGCCAGCGAGAGGAGGTGACAGTCAAACGAGTATGTGAAATGAAATGCTTTGTAGCCAGTTACATTCTCAGGAGGGTCATTTCCAGACTATGTAGTTCCCATAAGCTGCTCTAATGTCACGAAAACATTACTTCCATCGAACCTACATTACCTTTCTGGAGATTGAAGAGACATTCAAACCAAATCTTTGAGCTCTTTCCTTCAGCTTATCCAAGTTAACCTATAAAAACATGGGGGAAAGAACACAGTTTTAAAAAATCAAAACAGAAAACAAAAAATGCAGAAACTATAGTCTGAAGCTAAGAGTTCAAACAAGCCTATAACATCAAAGATACCCTATGAGAAAAATAAGAAAACTAAGCAGCAACCATCCAGTCCACTGATTATTAAAAGGCCTCCTCTGGAATGCAGTGAAACATTCAGTCCTGCCTCCTGCATTTATCACAGGTGTCAATAGCCTAAGGAGGGCTTAAGATCAAGGGAAGGCAAACACTGCTGGAGAAAGCAAACACATGTCTAAATCATCACCTCCAAACAAGTCTACCAAAACAAGTCTACCATTCTCAATCCAAAATCATTAATTCTCATATCGTCTCTGCAAGTATTTCTTAAATCTATCTCCAAGCAAAGAGAAACCATCACAGAAGCACCTTTTTCAGAAGACAATCTATAACCACTACCCACTCGATTCTCTTCCCTCCTCTTTCTTGGAAACCTTGGTACATGGACTCGTTACTATTGTAAGAATTATTTAGGGCCGGTGCGGTGGCTCATGCCTATAATCCCAGCAGTTTGGGAGGCTGAGGTGGGCAGATCACCTGAGGTCAGGAGTTCGAGACCAGCCTGGCCAACATGGTGAAACCCCGTCTCTACTAAAAATACAAAAATTAGCCAGGCATGGTGGGGGGGCACCTGTAATCCCAGCTACTTGGGAGGCTGAGGCAGAATAATTCCTTGAACCTAGGAGGCGGAGGTTGTAGTAAGCTGAGACTGCACCATTGCACTCCAGCCTGGGCAACAAGAATGAAACTCCATCTTAAAAAAAAAAAAAGAATAGGAAATTTTCATTAATAATATTAAATCTTAACTTACAATATTAAGCAGCAACCCCTAAAGCAGGATTTCATAAAGCTGATTCTATTTCACCACAGTATTCGTTACCATTCTTAAAATATGCTGACTAGAAACAATGGTCCAGAAAGCCATTTTATTCTACCATTCTTTACTATGATTTCACATTTCATGGATAGTATTTAAAAAATTTAAAAAAAAAAAAAAGCACTATCTACAAACAGAACTCCTAAATTGCTTCCATAGATTCTCTTGTGGTAATTATGAATTAGACATTATCTAAGGCCATTGGACAAGGATTCAGTACCATAAAACAAAAAGTTATATACACGGGTTGTTCTCTAGCTAACAAAATCTATTCTTACTTTTGAAAAGAGTGGTAGGAAGAAAGACGTCTGCAGTAACTGAACATGTGACAATTTTCCTGACCTCTCAGTATCTCCAACAATTTTTTAAATTCAGGACATATAACATTATACTGAAAACAGTCAACAAATTAATGTTCTCAGAGTTTCTTCTAATCTGGTGAGGAGTCTCTAAAGTTAGCTATACAGAATTAAGATCTGGGTGTGTAAGAAATAAAAAAAGATTTCTTACCATAGGTTTGTTATCAGATGACAGACCTAAGGAAGTAAACAAAATTTTATTTAATATTTTTATTTTATTTATTTATTTTTTTTTATTTAATATTTTTAAAAGTCATAAAAGCCGACAGTCTTCAAGTCAAATTAGGCAACATAAAAACTGTATACGGGACACACCCCCTTTATCCTATGATGACAAAGAAAAGGCAGAAATTCCATCTAGCAATCATGTCTCCATTAACTGCTAGCAGGAACATAAAACGGTACAGCTGCTCTGGAAAACAGTTTGGCAGTTCCTCAAAAGGTAAATACAGTTACGCATGATCCCACAATTCCACTGCTAGTATACAGCCAAGAGAAAATGAAAACATATAATTACACAAAAACTTGTACATAAATGTTCACAGCAGCTTATTCATATTAGACAAAATGTTAAAGAAAAACACCCATCAGCTTGATGACTGGCTAAATTAAGTATAGTATATCCATACAATGGAATATTATTAAATAATAAAAATGAATAGAGATACATGCTACAACATAAGTGAACCTTGAAAACTATGCTAAGTGAAAGAATCCAGTCACTAAAGACAATATACTATATGAATTCATTCATATGAAGGCAAATTTCCACGGAGAAAAAAACTAAGCGGCTGCTTAGGGCTGGGCAGGGAGAGGTAATGGAGGATATCTGCTAATGGGCACAGTTTCTTTTTGGGGTGATAAGCACGGTGATGATGGCTGCACAACCCTGTGAATATACTATGGAATAATGAATTATATACCTTTAAATGGATGAATTGTTACGTCATATAAATTGCATCTCTCTAAAGCTCTTAAAAAAGAGATCACATCTGGACAAACAAGAACTACTATTACGAGTTGAAACTTTGGCTCCTGGGCCGGGTGCGGTGGCTCACGCCTGTAATCCCAGCACTTTGGGAGGCCAAGGCAGGTGGATCACCTGAAGTCAGGCGTTCTAGACCAGCCTGACCAATATGGTGAAATCCCGTCTCTACTAAAAAAACAAAAATTAGCAGGGCGTGGTGGCATGCGCCTGTAGTCCCAGCTACTCAGGAGGCTGAGACAGGAGAATTGCTTGAACCCAGGAGGCAGAGGCTGTACTGAGGGGTGCCACTGCGCTCCAGTCTGGGCAACAGAGCAAGACTCCATCTCAAAAAAAATAAAAAGAAATTATGCTTCCTTAAGGCCAATTTTCTGTCCTGAAATTATCACCAAGAACCTAACCAATAATTATTTACTTCAAACTTTTCAGGATCTCATTCAAAAAACAATGCTTCCTTTTAAATGTTCCCAAATTCCGTTATTTTAGAGTTACTCTATAGTTCTTTTTTTTTTTTTTTTGAGATGGTGTCTAGCTCTGTCGCCCAGGCTGGAGTGCAGTGGCCGGATCTCAGCTCACTGCAAGCTCCGCCTCCCAGGTTTACGCCATTCTCCTGCCTCAGCCTCCCGAGTAGCTGGGACTACAGGTGCCCGCCACCTCGCCTGGCTAGTTTTTTGTATTTTTAGTAGAGACGGGGTTTCACCGTGTTAGCCAGGATGGTCTCGATCTCCTGACCTCGTGATCCGCCCGTCTCAGCCTCCCAAAGTGCTGGGATTACAGGCTTGAGCCACCGCGCCCGGCGAGTTACTCTATAATTCTAAGATGTCAGAATTATGAGTAAAACTGAAACTGTATTTTTTATCAGGTTCCCTTTTCAGACTATTAACTATTATCTTTCTTTTTTTTTTTTTTTGAGACGGAGTCTCACGCTGTTGCCCAGGCTGGAGTGCAGTGGCGCGATCTCGGCTCACTGCAAGCTCCGCCTCCCAGGTTCCCGCCATTCTCCTGCCTCAGCCTCCTGAGTAGCTGGGACTACAGGCGCCCGCCACCGCGCCCGGCTAATTTAACTATTATCTTTCTTCAAATAGCATTTTAGCCACGCACCTGTAGTCCCAGTTACTCAGGAGGTTGAGGGAGGGTTGCTTGAGCCCAGGAGCTCAAGTCCAGCATGGGCAATATAGTGAAACCCTGTCTCTTAAAAAAAATAAAAAAGCACCACCTTCTATAATTTCTGTTGTATCTTCACCAATTATATTATCTCTCTTGGTATAACTAAGAGTCAGAAAAAAAATTTTTTCTCTATAACACTTAGTGATAGTGGCCAGAAATTTTTCCACCTTTTTAAAAGCACAGCAAAGACCTCCCAGGCTCAAGAGATCCTCCCACCCCAGCGTCCCAAGTAGCTGGGACTACAGGCACCTGCTACCATGTCTAGCTAATTTTTTAATTTTTTGTAGAAACAAGGTGTCACTTTGTTTCCCAAGCTAGTTTCCAACTCCTGGGCTCAAGCAATCCTCCCAGCTTGGCATTCCAAAGTGTTGGGATTATAGGTGTGAGCCACCACACCCAGAGTTTCTTAAAAATAATAACTATTTCAGGCTCGGCACACCTGTAATCCCACCATTTTGGGAGGCAGAGGTGAGTGGATCACTTGAGGTCAGGAGTTCAAGACCAGCCTGGCCAACACAGTGAAACCTGTCTCTACTAAAAATGCAAAAATTAGCTGGGTGTGGTGTCACGCACCTGCAGTCCCAGCTGAAGCAGGCTGAAGCAGGAAAATAGCTTGAACCCGGGAGGCAGAGGTTGCAGTGAGCCAGACTGCGTCCCTGCACTCCAGTCTGGGTGACAGAGCAAGACTGTGTCTCAAAAAATAGTAATAATTTCCTCTAATTCATTATAAAAGTGATACATATTCATTGTATCGATTTTAAAAACACAGACAAGCAAAAAGAAATAAATCATTCAAAATTCCACCAACCAGGGATAATGAGTACTAACATTTTAGAATACAGTCATCCCTCCATTTCCTCAGGGGATTGGATCCAACCCCAACCCTGCAGCTGATACCAAAATCCACTATGCTCAAGTTCTGCAGCGGATTATAATAAGTTGCTCCTCCATATCTGCAGGTTTCGCATCCCAAAAATACTGTATTTCTGAACCACATTTGGTTATGAAGAACCCTCAGATACAGAGGGCAAAGTGTATTTATTGGGGAAAAAAAATAAATCCATGTATAAGTGGACCTGTGCAGTTCAAACCTGTGTTGTTCAAGTGTCTACTGTATATCCTTCCAACCTTTTTTCCTATCTATACATGCACTCTTACATGACTAAAATGGGAACATACTGTTAATATAAATTTGTAACTTTTTATTAATATCGCTGATAAATATCTTTCAATATTATTTCAGCACAGTATAGTCTTCTATACCATGGCACACATTTAATAACCAATTGTCTGTTGTACAGTTGGTTGTTTCCAGTTATTGATCACTATAAATAATGCTGTGATAATCCTTGAGGCTAAGTCTTTATGCACATTCAAGACTATTTCCTTATACGTTCCTAGAAGTAAAACTGTTAAGGTAGAAGATATTCTTTTCCCTTTTATCACTTATAATAGCCAGTATAACACTGGAAAGTATGCAATAATTTTATGCAGTTGAGACCCTAGAATAAGTAAGCAAAGTACTAGAGAAACTTCTTTGAAGATGTTCAAGAAAGACAGACAAATGTTGGCACTTCCTATCCTCTCATAACATTCAGTATCTCTTTTAATTGCCCAGGAAGGCCTAAGTATAATTATATCTAAAGCAGGAGATGAATGCTATAATCTCTTAAGAGTTTCTACAGCTAGCAAATTTACTTTATTTTGGAGAAATGAAACCTGTTATACCAGAAAAGAAAGAATAAAAGGGTAACTTTCTCAGAAGTATCTCTGTACTCTTACCTTTTGTTGGAACTGAAGAAATCCCAAACCTGAAGAAGGAAAAACAAACTAAATTTTAGGAAGCTGTTCACACTCCTGGTTGTCTGTCTCCGTGTCAAGTATACATATGACACTTCTTGCTTGTGATCTCAAGTCTTGCAATCATTAGCTAATTCTAACAACCCCATGAAAGAGGTTCAGTTTACTCTCCCTCTTACCAAGTCCAGAGATTAAGCTAAGAGGAAGCCTTATCAGAATTAGTAGTAGTAGTCAGTTCCTGGCTTTAACTGTTACAAAAACCCTTCTCAATAAAGCCCAATTTATAGCTACTATAACCAAACCAGTAGATACGTTCTGAATAGGGTCAAAAAAGTGTTCATATCCTTCAGCAAGCCTCTATTCTACTTAAATCAACAATTATATCAAAAACCTAGGATCACATATCTTCACCTTTACAACATCACTATCGCAGGCCCAAAAGGCTGGGGACACTCACCTAGCTGCCCGAGCAGCTTTCTTACTCTCCAAGCTCACAGGTACATTGAATCGTTCAGCCCTCTTCTGCATTCTCTAAGTAAAAATAGACAAAAAAAAAAAAAAAAAAAAAAAAAAAAAAGGAAGAAAAAAGAAGTCAATTTATGGTTTAAGAAAGTTAGTCAGAGGTAGGTATCTTTAAAAAAATAAAAATAATAAAAATAAAAAAATTTTTTTAAAAGTCTCACTCTGTCCCCCAGGCTGGAGTACAGTGGCATGATCTCAGCTCACTGCAACCTCAGCCTCCTGGGTTCAAGCGATTCTTGTGGCTCAGCCTCCCGAGTAACTGGTATTAGAGGACTGTGCCACTGTGCCCAGCTAATTTTTGTGCTTTTAGTAGAAATGAGATTTCACCATGATGGCCAGGCTGATCTCGAACTCCTGACTTCAAGTGAACTGTCCACCTCAGCCTCCCAAACTGCTGGGATTACAGGCGTGAGCCACCCCGCCCAGCCAAAAGAAGGTATCTTAAAAACATCAGAAGTAATTTCTTAGGGTCCAAACTGAAAATACTGACAATCCTAGAAGATAGCAGGTTGTGTCCATACTAGGACTTAACAGCCCTTCCCAGAAAGCAAACACAAAAAGACTATTATTACATACCCTCAAAAACAAAAGGGAGAAATAAAGTAAAACCTATATTATACATGAAGCCAAGAAGTCAAAAGCTATGTTTGGCTGACCTTTGAAAAGTAATCAAAGGAATAGCTTGGTTCCAACACTAATGGCATTCTTTCAGTTAGAAATGAGGCAGCATTGTTTTATGCCATTCTAAAAGAGTTTAATAATTCTCTACTTTGCAAGTATGACACTGAACACAAGATCTCAACTGGAACCTGGTTTCACAGTCCTACCCCACAGAAACCAGTGGAATTTCAATCTCAGCTACTGGCCGGTAGCAACATAAGAGTCACATCTACCAATACATTTTCAAAGTACAATCCTCCCAAATTCTAATCCTAGGTTTGTAAACATCTCAAAGAGAGTCATTGTTAAGACAATAGTGTTACATATAAAAAGACTACAGCTTCAAGAAAGACTACCCTATGCCAGCCAAATATTTTCCAAAGAGCAGCTGGCAGTGAAACGTTTCAACACCAAAATCTGTCAATACTGATTTTCTGCCTGTGAATAAATTTTAGAGGATGATGCAGATATAATAAAGGGTAAGAGGGAGACAGAAATGTAGAGACTGTTCTACTAGGGAACAGAATACCTACCTCAGTCTGTGGTATTTCAGATGTAATTTTCACCACTTTCTTCTCTGCTGCCCTAGAAAAGAAAGAGATCTTTTAAAATGAGAAAACTGATATTCTAAACCACAACCTCAGAAATGTGTAAGAATTCACTTGAATTATCTCTGCCCTATTATCTCTCTGCCACCCCTTATGCCAAGGAAACATGAAGTTCACTAGAGCTTTGGTTCCTTTAACTGTCATCTATTGAGAAGAAAGAGTTCAAATAACAAACTAATCTTCTTTAGCTAAAGTACAATAAAGAAATAAGGAAAGAAGTCTGGTTAAATACACTGGGCTGAAGGGAAACACTCAAAGGACACCAGAAACCATCTCATTTGCTTTTAGGAACTTTTTAATTTACTTTTTTTTTTTTCTGAGACGGAGTTTTGCTCTTGTCACACAGGCTGGAGTGCAACGGTGCAATCTTGGCTCACTGCAACCTCCACCTCCTGGGTTCAAGAGGTTCTCCTGCCTCAACCTCCCAAGTAGCTGGAATTACAGGCGCCTGCCACCACGCCCAGCTAATTTTTGTATTTTTAGTAAAGATAGGGTTTCACCATGTTGGCCAGGCTAGTTACGAACTGGCCTCAAGTGATCCACCTGCCTCAGCCTCCCAGAGTGCTGGGATTACAGGCGTCAGCCACCAAGCCCAGCCTTTAATTTACTTTTGAACTAATGAGTAACCCTCCAATCCTCCTTTAAGCACCAGCTCCCAATATTCATCACAACAATTAAGTACTCTACAAGGTCTGGTTTCCTTCTTTTAAAAATCCCTTATTTCTCCCATGAGGAATGTAGCTCTAGTTGGAACAAAGTGGAACAAATAAAAATGCCAAAGAAGGTAGGAAGAAAAAAGTCTAAGGGGAGTTTGAATTAGGAAAACATGGCATGTTACTGGTCAAAGGTTTAAGAGAAAACAAAAGAGGGGGGACCACAGGGGCGGGAGACAAAGTTCGGAAGTACCCAGGATAAATGGAAGGGCATTAACCCTCCACCAAACAACTCCCATAAAACTGTGGGTCATAACCAGTCTCATTAAGGTCCCTCATTTAGAGACATGGGCAGCTTTTGTTCCAATATCCCGGACACTTTTCCCATTTGATGCCCTGAAAGGTAGTAATGGTTTAATGACATTTTCAGAGGAAGCAATTCTGGAACAAGTACTCTCTTCCACCCTTTTATTGGAAATCCCTGGACTGACAGACAAGCAATGGGTGCCCCCTGCTGACCATAACAAAGTCCTACAATATGTAACTGCTTTAGCTGGTTGGGGGTGGGGAATCAAACTAGAAACAGATACATTTTTGGAGAACCTCAGGCCAAAGATGAAGAAAGGGATCTCCTTTTAAATAGTCAAAGAATCTAAACTAGCCCTGACTATTCTGATGTTTAAAGAAATTTCTAAACAATTCAGATTTCCTTGCCATCCTTCCCTAACCTTGTCTTATAATTTAGGCACAGAAAGCCAAAGAAGTTTAATGTTTTACTTGAAATACAATGCCATCAAGAAAGCAGTACTCTCCATTAACCCAACTGCAATGGCTTCCTCCCTATTCCCACTCTGAAGTACAGTCAATGCAGTGCACCTCATGGCAGAAAGGGAACCCCAGAAGGGAAGTTTCCTTCCATTCTATTCCAATTCCCTTAGGTATAACTAAACTCAAGCGCAATAAACAAACATCAAATGCATGGGAAATTTCCACTCTTCACTGAGAAATTTCTCTCCTACCCAATCACGTAAACAACATTCTCAGAAATACAGACACCCAGAATCTTTTTGTACATACTTCAGTCTAACCACAACTATCCTCTAAAAATCAAAATGATCACCCCACCCACTTCAATTTCCTAGCTTCAAAATTCATTAATAGAATTAAAACCCCCTGAACAGAATGCACATTTTAAATATTCTATGAATAATGAATTTCAAACTTTTGAACCTCTATTTTTTAACCCACACAAGCCAATTATGATGGTATTCACTTGATCTTCTTTCTTGTTCCAGAAATCCCCGTAACATTTCTATTTTAAAACTATCTCACAAAGTCATTTTTTCAAGGCACTATATCTAATCATAAACATCTTATGATGGAAAGATAACTAAATGGCTTTAGAAAGTAATATTTGATAGGCTGGGCATGGTGGCTCACACCTGTAATCCCAGCAGTTTGGCAGGCCAAGGCAGGTGGATTGCTTTGAGCTCAGGAGTTCGAGACCAGCCTGGCAAACACGGCAAAACCCTATCTCTACAAAAAAGACAAAAAAGAGCCAGGCGTAGTGGCTCATGCCTATAGTCCCAGCTACTCGGGAGGCTGAAGCTGGAGGACTGCTTGAGCTGGGAAAAGGAGGTTGCAGTGAGCCAAGATTGTTCCACTGCACTCCAGCCTGGATAAGAGTCCCTGTCTCAAAAATATATAAAGGGATATTTGACAAAAATCTATCAAGATGTTAAATGTACATCCTCTGTGATGCAGCAAATCCACTGCTAGGAATTTACCCTACGGGTATACTTGTGAGTATAAATAATTAGAAAAGGACATGCAGAACTACATTTTTTTTCTTTTATGAATAATCTAAATGTCCATCAATAGAACGCTGGTGAAATAAATTACTGTTTATCCAGAGAATGGAATACTATTAAATGCTAGAAAAAACAAGGTTCTAAGTTGATAACTAGTAAATGTGGGTGATAGGTAGATGAGAGTCTATTGTACTAGTTGAACTTTTGTATATACTTGTAATTTCCCATAATGACAAGCTGAACAAAAAAGAGACCACTTCTAGGATAATTATCCTGGCTTCATAGGGTCTACTGAGGATAAAATGAAAGTATTTGTAAAACATTTAGAACAATGCCTAGCATATAACTCTTAAGAACAATGCCTAGCGTATAACTAACACTTACATAAGAAAATGATGATATAAAAAATTTCCAGATATGAAAAAAATCAAGAGTGTACATAGTGTGTGTACAGGTGTATCTATATATACACATACATACGTATGCACATAAACACATGCAGACCCATATAAAATCTTCCAAAAGTATGTACTGTTCTAAAAACCTCAGTAAAGTCAGATGAGAATGGATACAAAGAGTACTTAATTTTTAATTGATATATTCCACTATGTACTGACTTTTTACTTGTAAATATATTGCCTTTTATAATTAAATGCACTGACACAGCTATGAGGAACAAAAATGTTAAAAGTTTAGGACTCAACTGTTCTTTTTTTTTTTTTTTGAGACGGAGTCTCGCTCTGTTGCCCAGGCTGGAGTACAGTGGCGTGATCTCAGCTCACTGCAACCTCCGCCTTCCGGGCTCACGCCATTCTCCTGCCTCAGCCTCCGAGCAGCTGGGACTACAGGCGCCCGCCACCACGCCCAGACCTCGTGATCCACATGCCTCAGCCTCCCAAATCCCAAGTGCTGGGATTACGAGCATGCCCCACCGTGCCTGGCCTAAGTTTTACACTTTTACAGAAAAGTGCAAAACTCTTATAAACAGTTAAGAGAATGGGCTGGGCATGGTGGCTCACACCTATAATCCCAGTACTTAGGGAGGCCAAGGTAGGTGGATCATTTGAGGTCAGGAGTTCAAGACCAGCCTGGCCAACATGGTAAAACCCTGTCTCTACTAAAAATACAAAAACTAGTCGGGCAGTAGTGGCGCATGCCTATAATCCCAGCTACTCGGGAGGCTGAGGCAGGAGAATTGCTTGAGCCTGGGAAGCGGAGGTTACGGTGAGCCGAGATCGCGCCACTGCACTCCAGTCTGGGCAACAGAGTGAGATCCTGTCTCAAAAAAAAAAAAAAAAAAGGGAGTTAACAGAGTTTATACAGTTTTACACTGTATACAGAATTGTACAGATTCTCTATAGAGTAACAGAATAATCTATTATAGTGACCCTACAAAAGAACAACAAAGGCTAGGAGAATTAAACTATGTCTGGGCTTGAAGTCGCCTTGTCCTAATTACCTATTACATAACTCAGAGACAATTTGCTTTGTTTCACTGGGACCAAGTACTTTGAAGTAGTCCCTTCTAAAAAACAAAAAATGACCTAATCAGAAATGAAAAGGCCAATGGGAACATGTAAGAGGTAAACAGAGTTAAACATTAAACACAATAAAAAAAAGAGCTGCCTGCTCTGTACTCAGATTATAAAAAAGAGATAATTACACATCAACAGTTTTTTCAGGGGGTTCTTCCTCTTTGACAGGTAGCTCAATGGGCTTTGTTTCTTCTTCCTAAAACCAAATGAAACAAGGTGGTTAACATAAATCTAAACAATAAATATCTATAAATAGAAGAACATCAGAACTCCAAAATAAACCAGTCTCTCAGAACCTTCATACCCATCTTATGCTCCCCTAATAAATTTATATCTAAGTCTTCCAATGACTGATGTTAAAGCAATGTGGCCAAAGCAGTGTCATATTACCAGACCAGAGACTAACCTTACTCTATCCAACTCACCTCTGTTTCATCTCCCAGTACATCTTCTTCATTTGCCTCCTCTTCAGCTAAAGAATATTAAAATATTCAGGTCAAGCCCTGCTACAAAACCATCTTGATCACTTACCAAGGTTAAAATTATAATCACTTTGCTTTCCCCCAAAAAATCCAATAGTGAAGGCAGAAATTGATGCACATAAAATCTGCTACATCTGGAGAAGACAAAACCAGATCTCTCTCTACCTAACATTAATTACAAATGTGAACTCCAGTTGGACTGAAGAACTAAATGTGAAGTCAAACTAGAGAATTAATTTTAATTTTAAAAGTAATGTGGGGTCAGGCACCGTGGCTCTCTGTAATCCCACAAATCTGGGAGGCAGAGGCAGGTGGATCCTTGAACCCAGGAGTTCAAGCGACCAGCTTGGGGAACACAGTGAAACCCCGTCTTTACAAAAAATATTTAAAAAGTAGCTGGGTGTCGGGGTGTGTGCCTATAGTCTTAGCTACTAGGGAGGCTGAAGTGAGAACATTACTTGAACCTGGAAGGCAGAGGTTGCAGTGAGCTGAGATGATGTCACTGCACTCCAGCCTGGGTGACAGAGCAAGACCCAGTCTTGAAAAATAAACAAACAAAAAAAGTAATGTGGAAAAGTATCTTTGAGATTTAGTGGTGGGGAAAGATTTGTTTAACAGAAAAACAACTCAGAAGCAAAAGTAAGAAGTGAAAAACTGAATATTTTTCGAAACTAAGTACTTCTACTTAAGGATAGCACAAAGAAAGTTAAAAGACAAATGACAAGATATTTGTTTCTGTTGAGACAGAGTCTTACTCTATCGCCCAGACTGAAGTGTAGTGGCATAATCACAGCTCCCTGCAGCCTCCACGTCCTGGGCTCAAGGGATTCTCCTGCCTTAGCCTCCCAAGTAGGTAGGACTATAAGTGCACATCACTACACCCAGCTAATTCTATTATTTTTCTTAGAGATGGATCTCACTATGCTGTCCAGACTGGTCTCAAACTCCTGGCCTCAAGAGGTCATACCACCTTAGCCTCCCAAAGTGCTGAGTTACAGGCATGAACCACCCTGCACAGCCAAAGAAGATATTTGTGCCTAAAACCAACAAAAGAATAGTTATTAGGATATAAAAGAAATGCCTGCAAACCAACAAGCAAATTATGGGAACCTCAATAGAAAAATGGGCAAAGAAGAAACAAAAGAATTGTGAAATGCTTAAACTTTTTTCATGGAGAACATAAAACAGCCAACAAATTAGCAAAACTTAGGCCACTTGATAGGACAGTGCCAAGTTTAGGTTTGTGGAGATACAAGAACCCTTATGTACTAGTGATGAGACTGTAGATCTATAGAGCAATTCTGGAAAACAATTTGGGAGTCCTTAGTCACATTAAGTATATATGTATGAATATTAATTAGAAATACCACTCTTGGGCATATACCCCAAAAAAACTTTCACAGGAACTTAAAAGCATGAAATAAATAGTTCATAATAATATACTATATATTATTAGTATATAGAATATAGTATACTATATCCTACAGGTCAAGCATCGCCAATCTGAAAATTCAAAACCTAAAATGCTTCTAAATCTAAAACTTTCTGAAGGCTGATACAACCCCACAAGTGGAAAACCCCACACCTAACCTCATGCGATGGGTCACAGTCAAAACTCTGTTTCATGTACAAAATTATTTTAAATACTGTGTAAAACTACTTTCAAATATATGGATAAGAAACAAATGAATTTTGTGTTTAGGCTTGCATCTCACCCCCAAGATACCTCATTACATATATACACAAATATTCCAAAATCCAAAAAAAATATAAAAACTGAAACATTTCTGGTCTCAAGTATTTCAAATATATAATATTCAACCCATAGCATAATATATACTATATACTATTATATACATATAGTATACTATAAGTAGTATCACTTGTAGTAGCAGAGGCTTGGTGGCAATATGTTTCTGTCACCGAGTGAATTAAGTAAAATGTGTGGTTATCCATCATGGAATGCTATGCAGGAATTAGAATCAACAGACTAGATAACTACACAGTCACATTCCACACGGACACATTTAAAAAAAACACAACACTTAGTGAATGAAATGAGAAATAAAGCAAGGCTATGGCCAGTTCTATAATTACCAATTATATAAATGAAAACATTCTACGAAACAACACTATATATTTTATCATGAAAAAGACCAAAAAAATACATTCAAACACATTAGAATGAGTGCCTAAATGGGTTGGGGAGGAAGTGAAACGAGGAATGGAAATAAAAGGGAATAAGTAAATAAAAATTAGAGAGGGGACTTGTACAACCTGAGATGAAGGTTGTACAAGATGGCCAGGTACGGTGGCTCACGCCTGTAATCCCAGCACTTTGGAAGGCCGAGGCAGGTGGATCCCCTGAAGTCAGGAGTTCTAGACCAGTCCGACCAATATGGTGAACCCCCGTCTCTACTAAAAACACAAAAATCAGCCAGGCGTGGTGGCGTGCGCCTGTAGTTCCAGCTGCTCGGGAGGCTGAGACAGGAGAATTGGTTGAACCCGGAAGATGGAGGTTGCAGTGAGCTGAGACTGTGTCACTACACTCCAGCCTGGGCAACAGAGCGAGACTCCACCTCAAAAAAAAAAAGAGTTTTCTTGATGCCGTTAATTAAGAGCTTACATCACTAATGACTTAAAAAAAAAAAAAGGAAATCTTTTCAGTGTCAAAGCCTGAAAATCCCCTCACTCACATCATTCTGCCTCCACAAAGTACTCACCATGTTCTTCAAGATATGCCTGGAGTCTGTGGATAAGATCTTGCTTTATTCCCTTGGTCTCCAAACCACGAGCAAGACATTCTTGCTTTAGTTCAGCAAGCTGAGGGGAAAAAAATAAAACTTTTCCTTAGTTAACAGGATGAACACCAGTGAATAAAACGGTAGTTCCCACAAGGAAAAGAAAAAAAGAAAATGAAGTTCCATCCCAAATTACTGCCATTAATTCTACCAAGGCTCTAGGTCCACAACGATGATCCATTTTCCTCTAATGATATTCAATACACAAGAGGAACTGCCTAAGGCTAAACATCACACTTTAATAAAAACTTCATCTATTTGCATACCTACTAACTGTCACAAATCTCTAGTTATTTCTAAATATTCTAAGGGGGAAAAAGGTTTTATTCCAAAGATTACTGTGGCAGCCAGCATATTGGAAGAATGAACCTTCAAGCAGAAAATCCAATGATCTAAAAGCAGATTCTCCTTACCACTTATTATCCCAGATCCTTTATTACAATCTACCATATACATGCATACAGATGTAACCACCACAGAATCAAGTAGATACATTAGCTAATGTCAACAATGAACTGATTACAGGATCTATGTCAGAATGAGAAGAAATATCTAATGGCATACCCTAGAGTTCTGCTGAAGATTTTAAAATCAGTAACTTATCTAAAGATATAAAAGCTATGTTCATCAATTTTACAGACAATAGGAGGAGGAGAATTGATGTATTACGGACATAACTAAGCTTAAAAAACACCACAGAAACAGAAAAAAGAAAAAAAAACACTTCTTCAGGACTAATAATAAGCCAAAACAAATACTCAATTTAGAAGGAATAAGGTATACATATAAATTCCTACACTTAGATTCAAAACTTAAGTTATACAAAAACTGGATAAGTGAGGATTGGCTCAATAGTAAGTCAAAGGATAAAGACCTCAGAATTTTAGGCAAAGAAGGTTAACAGTATGATTTGCTACCTGTAAGTCACAGGTAACTGAAATATAGACTCCATAATAAATGATGTAATGGCCTTACTGGGCTCTATATTCTTATTTTATGAAGCACAATGACACGCTGACCCAGGAGAACAAGCAGGAAAGAAAGGCTCCAGAAATTCTATATGCAGATCAACACACAGATAGATGTCTGGTCTGAAAGATGACCTTTTTTTGTTTTGAAGCACAGATCTATGACCAATCAGAAGCTAGAAGGCAGATTCCTACAGACAAAAAATTTTACAACTATGGAGTATTCCCTGCATCTCTACATTTTTCAGCCAGGGGAACATTTCATAATGAAAAGTGGAGAGTTTTTTCTATTTTTAAAATATATCACAATGACTGGTAAAGCATTTAGTGAGTGGGGCAGGCAGGAGGGGATGTTACGAACGGAAGTGCCCAACCCAACAAGCGGAAAGCAACCTCTACTGAGGAACATGGTAGGTAACCATCCATTAAAAATTATTTTTAGGCCGGGGACAGTGGCTCATGCCTGTTACAAGCACTTTGGGAGGCCAAGGCGGGGAGATCATCTGAGGTCAGGAGTTCAACAGCAGCCTAGCTAACATGGTGAAACCCCATCTCTACTAAAAATACAAAACTAGGCTGGGTGCGGTGGCTCACGCCTATAATCCCAGCACTTTGGGGCGCCTAGGTGGGCAGATCAACTGAAGTCAGGAGTTCAAGACCAACTTGGTCAACATGGTGAAACCCTGTCTCTACTAAAAATACAAATATTAGCCGGGCATGGTGGCAGGCACCTATAATCCCAGCTATTCAGGAGGCTGAGGCAATAGAATTGCTTAAACCCAGGAGGCGGAGGTTGCAGTGAGCCGAAATCATGCCATTGCACTCCAGCAGGTGAAAGAGTGAGACTGTCTCAAAAAAATAAATAAAAATTAAAATATAAAATACAAAACTAGTCAGGCATGGTGGCGCATGCCTGTAATCCCAGCTATTCAGGAGGCTGAGGCAGGAGAACGGCTTGAACCTGGGACACAGAGGTTGCAGGGAGCTGAGATCGCACCATTGCGCTCCAGCCTGGATGCCAAGAACGAAATTATGTCTCAAAAAAAAAAAAATTATTTTTAAGGCTTTAGCCTGTTTAAAAAAAAAAAATGACTGCAGAGTGACTGGAGAGCATAGACTCTGAAGCCAGACTACTTAGGTTAGAATTCCAATTTTACTACTTGCAACCTTACATGAATAACTTCACCTCTCTGTGCCTCAGTTTCCTTACTTGTGAAATAGGAACAATAACAGTACCTATTTCATAGGGTTGTTATGAAGATTAAGTAAAAAAAAAAAAAATTTTTTTTTTTTTTTTGAGACGGAGTCTTGCTCTGGTGCCCTGGCTGGAGTACAGTGGCACGATCTCGGCTCACTGCAACCTCTGCCTTCTGGGTTCAAGTAATTCTCCTGCCTCAGCCTCCCGAGTAGCTGGGATTACAGGCGCCCGCCACCACGCCTGGCTAATTTTTGTATTTTTACTAGAGGCGGGGTTTCACCATGTTGGCCAGGCTGGTCTCGAACTCCTGACCGCAAGTGATCCACCTGCCTTGGCCTCCCAAAGTTCTGGGATTACAGGTGTGAGCCATTACAAAAAAAAAAAGTATATATATATTTTTTATATATAATGAGGATCATTAGGTCAAGAGGATCATGAGGTCAAGAGATCCAGACCATCCTGGCTAGCACGGTGAAACCCCATCTCTACTAAATATATACATATATATTTTTTTGTTTGTTTTTTTTATGAGACGAAGTCTCACCATATCACTCAGGCTGGAGTGCAGTGGCACGACCTCAGCTTCTGCAACCTCTGCCCCCCGGGTTCAAGCGATTCTCCTGCCTCAGCCTCCCGAGCAGCTGGGACTACAGGCGCACGCCACCGTACCCATCTAATTTTTGTATTTTTAGTACAGATGGGGTTTCACCATATCGGCCAGGCTGGTCTCGAATTCCTGACCTTGTGATCCTCCTGCCTCGGCCTCCCAAAGTGTTGCGATTACAGGCATGAGCCACCACGCCCGGCCTTAAATCAAAAATTCTATCAAGCATTTAGAACAGTGCCTGACAGCTAGTAAGTGCTTTATATTTATTAAGTACTAAATCACTGGTCTCAGATTTCATAGTTTCACAAATCAATGTATTTTTATTTTATTTATTTATTTTTAGAGACAGTGGTCTCGCCATGTTGCCCAGGCTGAACTTAAACTATTGAACTCAACTAATCCTCCCACTCCAAACTCCAGCTGGGACTACAGGTACACACCACTGTGCCCAGCTCAATGTACTTTTACATAGATAGGCTGATAAGGTTACTTTTTACAACATTACAATCAGGTCATGGAGCAATACTTTTGCAATAACAATAAAAATCAATTACTACAAAAATGAGCACACACTTGGATATCGCAGTGCTATCAAACTGCTATAAAACTTTCTAAAAGCTTACACTCAATTTTTGTATTTATTTCACCACTAACCAGGAACAGCTAGTTCATGGACCAGCAGAGGCCTGTGAACTATACCTTAAATAACATTATAAGTCATCTTTAATGTCCCTTTATTAAGTAAGAATCTTGATTTCCGTGGCTCATGCTTACAATCCCAGTCCCTTGTGAGGCCAAGGCAGGAGGACTACCTGAACCCAGAAGTTTGAGACCAGCCTGGGCAACACCATGAGATGCCATCTCTATTAAAAAAAAAAAGTTTTTTTGGTCGGGAACGGTGGCTCACGCCTTTGGGAGTGATCCCAGCACTTTGGGAGGCCGAGGTGGGTGGATCATGAGGTCAAGCGATTGAAACCTTCCTGGCTAGCATGGTGAAACCCTGTCTCTACTAAAAATACAAAAAATTAAAAAAAAAAAAATTAGCTGGGCGTGATGGGGGGCACCTGTAGTCCCAGCTACTCGGGAGGCTGAGGCAGGAGAATAGCGTGAACCTGGGAGGCAGAGCTTGCAGTGAGCCGAGATCGTACCACTGCATTTCAGCCTGGGTGACAGAGCGAGACTCCGTCTCCAAAAAAAAATTTTTTTTTTAAAAGAATCTTGTTCTTTCTCACGCTGATACTTTATTTTCTTTCCACTTCCTGGAGAACAAGTCATTTGATTTTAATTACACTTTAAATTTTTTGTTAGTTTGTTATAAAAGTATTATGTTCACTGTAGAATAGTTAGAAAATTCTGAAAAGTTTAGAGGAAAATAAAAGTCATATGTAATCCCGGCACTTACAGATCACTTAACATTTACATATATCATTTGTAGGGAGGCGTGAGCCACTGCGCTCAGCCTACATACAGCTTTTATATAACGTTGTACGACTTCTTTTGTCATATAGTGAGTTCTTCTCATATACTAGGACATTATTTTAAAAGGGAAACAGAGGCTGGGCATGGTGGCTCATGCCTGTAGTCCCGGCACGTTGGAAGGCTGAGTCAGGAGGACAGCTTTGAGCCCAGGAGTTCAAGAACAGCCTGGGCAATAGAGTGAGACCCTGTTCCTAAAAAAAAAAAAAAAAAAAATTTTTTAATTAGTCACACAAGGTAGCACATGCCTGTGGTCCCAACTACTAGGGAAGCCGAGGTGGGAGGAACGCTTGAACCTGGGAGGTCAAGGCTGCTATGTAACTGTGATCACAGCATTGTACTCCAGCCTGGGCAACACAGTGATACCTGGCAAAGAAAGATGGTGGAAGGAAGGAAGGAAGGACGGACGGAAGGACGGACAGACGGAAGGAAGGGAAAGAGAGAAAGAAAGAGAAAGAGAGAAAGAAAGAAAGAGAAAGAAAGAAAGAAAGAAAGAAAGAAAGAAAGAAAGAAAGAAAGAAAGAAAGAAAGAAAGAAAAGATTAATAAAAACATAAACTAGCTGAAAATGATGTCATTTCTTTTTGCACATATTTCAGCACAATTACATTAGCAGAACTAAAACCTTTTAAAACTTAAAATAGGACTAACATAAAATCTTACTCTATTTTTCTAAATTGATTTGATTTGATTTGAAATGTTTTGACTCCAGCACTTTGGGAGGCTGGAGGTAGGCGGATCACTTGAGTCCAGGAGTTCGAGACCAGCCTGGGC